AAAAAAAAAAAAAAAAAAAAAAAAAAAAAATCTTGTAGCAACTTGGAATAACTGAACTAAAATTTGAATGCTTGAGATGTTTTTGTGCAGATCTTTCTGAGAGCAAGAAAGGTGGTGGGATATATTTCAAGAGGACTTCTGTAGCTGTCTGGGTAGAAATGATTAAGTGGAAGGTACAGAGAGCTTCCCTGAATGTTAAAATTGAAAAACCTTAGCCGTCATCTGCTAGTTTAACTCCTTCCTCTGCACGGTCCACAGAGGGACAGTAACTTTTTGTTCTTTTTTTTGGAACCGGGGATTGAACTCAGGCCCTTGTGCTTGCCAGGGAAGTGCTTACTCTGTTGAGCCATCTCTCCGGCCAACTTTTTGTTCTTGTTGGCAGTACCAACAAGATTGAACCTCTGCACTGAGTTACTTTCCCAGCCCCTCTCCTTTTGCTGCAGGTCTGGCTCAATTACTAAACCACCCACGCTAAGCTCAAACTTGGGATTTTAGATGATGACACCATATCCAATTTTTTATTTTATTTATTTTATTTATGTGTGTGTGTGTGTGTGTGTGTGGCCAGCTCAGCCCACCTGGGGGCGGGGCTGGCTGGCATGTGGCGCTGGGCGACTGAACAGCAGTCCCTGTGCTTTGCTAAGCTTGTTCTAAGTAGGTGCTTTAGACCACTGAGCCATCTTACCAGCCCCCAATTTTTTCTTTTTCTTTTTGGTATCAGGAATTAAACTCACGACCTCACACTTGCTAGGCAATTTTTTCTTTTTCAAATTAACCATGAGGAGGGCCAGGGAGATGGCTCAGTAGAATAAGTGCTTGCCTGGCAAGTGTAAAGGGCTGAATTCAATCCCCGGTTCTGGAAAAACAAAAAACAATAAGGGGCTAGGGAGATAGCTCAGCAGTCTAAGAGACTGCCTGGCAAGCGAAAGAACCCAGGTTTGATCCCTGGTACTGCATGCTATGCCTGTGCCAGCCCTGCGGAGTGAGATCCTGTACCAAATAAATAAATGAACTGATTTTTTAAAAAATTTTAAAAGATTAACGATGAAGGGCTGGTGAGATGGCTCAGTGGTCTATCTAAAGCACCTACTTAGAACAAGTTTAGCAAAACACAGGGACCGCGGTTCAATCCCCCAGCACCACATGCCAGCCAGCCCCGCCCCCAGATGGGCTGAGCTGGCCACACACACACACACACACACACACACACAAATAAAATAAATTTTTAAAAAACGATGAAAAGAAAAATAAAATTAACGATGAGATTAGCTAGTTGTGGTGTCAAATGCCTGTAATCCAGGACTCAAGAGGTTTATTTAACTCTTGAGGTTTAGACAAGAGGTTTGTTTGCTTTTAGCAGGCTCAGGCTGCTTAAGGGCGGGTCTGGTAAGGCATATAGAGGTGGGGATCGAACCGTTGTTTGTTTGTTTTTGGCTGGCTCAGGGTGCCTTAAACTCGGGTCTGGTAAGGCATGTGGAGGTGGGGATCCAACCGAGATATTCCGCCCCCGGACTGCGTTTGCATAAGCAGGACCTTAAACAACTGATCTAACCGGTAGACACCCCCTCCCCCCTCCCCCACAAGAGTATTGTTTGGAGGATTTTTTTTTTTTTTTTTTTTTTTTTTTTGGCTCAGGGTGCCTTCAAGGTAAGTCTGGCAAAGCTTGAGGATCTGGGGATTGAACCACAGCATCCTGAGCCTGACTGCTTCGCTTATCA